GAAAAAAGTTTGAACACTGTACAATTTTTTAACCGACTTAATTATATTTTAAGTATTTATTTTTGTAAGTCTAGAGGTATACTAATTTGCAACTTTCACTTCTAGTCAAGTTGTTGTTGTAGTTTTGAAGACAATGATAAAATAGTGTTTTAGTAAGTCTTAACCAGTAAATAAGTAGATACATATCTTTAGGGGGCTCATACGAGTGTCGTTGAGGAAAAAAAAAGTTAGCTAACAAAATGTATGATTAGATTAAAAAACCTTATAGCTTTTTATTAGGCACAATAGTAACAAAATTTATTTAAATCGTCTATTCTAAAGGGTGTACTGGATTATAAATAAATAACTCAAATTCTAAAGTAGTCAAAATTTTTATTCACACATTTCTATAATTCTTTGTAATAACTACTCTTAATACATGTACGACAACACCTTCGTATTGACGACAAAATTCAAATATATTAAGACAAAGAACGATTGATAACCTTAAAATATTGTGTGCACAACGCATGACTAACATCAGTCGAGGCTAATCTCTACTTTCACGGAGCTCTACTTAAACCGAAATAATGTACGTATTAATGTAGTATGCAATGAAAAAATCCATTTTGTTAAAGTTGTACAAAGTAGTAGTTTTTTGATTATTGTATAACTTGNGGCCGGGCGCACTTATACCTATGGTATTATTTATGCACGCGTGAGCTCATTGGCAGTAATTTAATGGGCTCTCCCGCTGCCGATCGCTCGCGCTGATATGTACATATATTGTTGCTCTCTCTCGCGCGTGCGTGTGTGTGTGTGTGTGTATATGTGAGCTTGTAATAATCGAGAACTCGGGTAATATGGTGTATACCAATCCACTCTTTCGGGAGAGTCAAATTGCATGCTTTCCCCCGCGTGATGCCGTTCGTTCGGCAGTATGAATTGTTGTACGGTGTTGACGCGAAGTAAGTATATCAAAGTTGCACCGCCCGGAGGGACAAGTTTTTCTCTGCTGCTCGTGCCTGTACCTGTAACTATTTATTGTATTATTTTTTTTTTCTCGTGTCAAAAGAGAGTAAGTGCTAATAAACATTTGGTCATGATACATCGTCGCGTTACGGTATTCAATCGGCATTTTCGGCATGACGTCACCCGGCAACTATCAATTTTATGCACCGTGATGTCATGCGGTATACGTACACGCAAGAGGCGCGGGGGAGAGTTACGATCTTTTGAAACGTACGAATACGTCATTTGCAAAAAAAAAAAGAAAAAAAAATTGTAAAGCCACATCCCCCCCACATCAAAAGCGTTTCACTGTAATTTCCCATCCCAAAAGCAGGAAAAGCGTGGACTCATTTCCACTCTGGTCAATATTTACGTGTCCGAACGTCCATTCCATTCGAGATATCAACCAAAACTACATGTAGCATGTAGCCCCCTCCCTGTCCCTCTGACTTTGGCATACGACTCCCCCCAACCATTTGCGACCTCGTAATTTCGAACCGGCGGACTATCGGTAATTATTATCGACTGGGGTTGGAACAACTGGTCTGGACATATTCTCCCGTCAGAGCGACGACCACTACCATCACGAGTTATCCCACTCTCTCTCTCTCTCTCTCTCTCTCATTCTACACTCTACACTGTAATTTCAAGTGCGTTTAATAACACTTTTGAAGCTTGCAGTTGAAACCTATTGCAGTAAATGGGTGGTTAAAAAAAAAAAAAAAAAAAAACAACTACCTAAGCAATTGTCTATATAATATTATATCAGCTCTACGCACCAAACATTATTTTATTATCATTCTCTTTCTGTTTTTCTTTCTCGTTTCTTCGAATATTCGATTAGTATTGTACTATATTAAGAATAACACGTAGCAGCAGAAGCTCGACGGTCATTGTATCCTTGGAACTTTTATCTGTTGGACGCTTATTTCTTTGTTTCCTTGACACTGAATTTATAAGCTGATTTCTTCAAAAATAAAAACAACAAACGAGTCTTTTTGTATGATAATCGACAAAGAACAGTTGACAATTGTTAATGATTTTTTTTTGTTTATCTATTTTTCGAAATCGGTTTTGGAAGCAAATCTTATTCTTACGTCCTTCACCTGCAAGTGTAGATATTCGGTTACTAATCGAGTCATCATTTAGCTTATCTGTAATCGTTCTTTTTTCAACTATAAATAAATATTGTTCAATATCGCTTAAACCGAGATAAATACATCTTTAATGTTTACTATATACTTTGTTATTTACTAATATTACAATACTACATTATTAAGAAAATACACAATTTTTTAACTTAGTTTTGTGTAACGTACGGTAGTATAGGTGAGACTCTAGGCTCCCTCTCCTCAAACCTCATAACGAGGGGCCCTAGGGCCAAGGGAAGGGAAGAGCGAGCAAGGAGAGAGTCTATTAGGGGAGTACACGACGAGCCTTTGAAGGGAACACACGCGCCACCTTGCCTATGATTTCCGTATCTTGAATAAAGCTCTTGAAGGAATCTGTGTTGATCATTCTCGCGAAGCACCTCCTTACCAATATCTTCCCTACGTAACAGTTTCTTATACTTTTATACCAAATTAATTTTGAAGATAATTTTATAATTTAAAAAAAATAAAAAAAAAACATCTAAAACTGTAGAATTATCTGCATTAGCTACAAAAAATATCTAAAAAATTGAGATAAATAATCGAATATTATTGCACAGCGATGGTTGTCGTTAAACATTATCCATTGATATCATGTTTATTCTACATTTTTTATCGAATTGAAAAAAAAAAAATTATTCCCTCAATTTTCGTATAAAAAATTTTTCTCACGTACGAAGTATATTTTAATAAAAAGGTTGGCTCCGAAACAAAGCATCAAATAAAAAAGTGATAAATCTAGTAAAAACAAATAGTAAACATTTGTAGCGCTGATTCATGTCTGAGCAAAACCGTCTTATATCAGCAGAAAAACAACCGGTGTAGTATATGCACACAAAATTATTTTACGAGAGAGAATATCACATTCATAGTCACGCTCCGAAAATAGAAGGAGCGTATTTGACGAAAAACCATTTTTTTTAAATCCACTTTTTGTGTTCAAGCGGATGCTGTGTAAGAGCAATGCATTGCTTACGTTGCAATTTCTATCTTTTAGAATTGCTGTTGTAAGTGGGCTCCGTAGTGCTACGATGGAGACTCTCTGTGAGTTTCCATCTTTTAGGTACTATTGTACTATCCGAAAGAAAAAAAAAAATTATAACCTCAAGTGTACAAGCACCAATGATTTTCCGTATTTCTCCTTCTTCTCCTTCTGGTCGATCCGAAAAGCACCTTTTCCTCTCTGCTTGTTCATTCGAATTTTTTACAGCTTTTTCTCTACGCGATTGACATGTTTTTCCATCGAATCTGTCTTCTCTTCGAGCGCAAGAACTTGCTTTTCCCTACACAGTAACGCTTACATCGGCTTGAAAAGTACCTCAAAAGCCGGTCGTAGTATTTTCTACAGGCCATGAAAAATACAAAAACATGGAAATCTCAACAATACCACGACGGAAGAAAAGTTCTTTACATAACAAATATCAAAGTTGCAAACGAAGAAATCTCTTATCATTGTTTAACAACCAAAGGTCTTTGATTATCGATCGCGTGCGACTCGTTATCTCTTTCAGTTACAGTACACGTAGTCCATACCACTACAGATGCACGTACTGTTTAGGCGTTGACATTTTGTACAAAAAAAAATAAAAAATAAAAAAATTAATACATTGCACTCAAGAGGATTCACACTTTGAAACTTTCGCTCTCGTGGTTTTATTTTCCTTCATTCCGTTGCACCAGAGCCCCATGGTGTGAGAGACAATTGTGGCGAAGCTAATATTTCTTGCGACTCTTCTTTCCTGGTTTGCAGGTGGGTTTAATTAATATTTCTCGGCCGAGCGAATTTAGCGAGTTTGGCTGAGTTTTATGCTCACGTTTCAAGATTTTACTTTCGATTGTGCACGGTGGTCGTGTGTGGAGTGAATTTACGTTTATTCAAGTATCTTGATGTGGCTTCCCCCGCAATTACATGTTATTTTTTCAATGTTCGTTACATCGATTGATAGGAAAAATTTGATGACAGGAAAATCATTTACAGACTTGCACTGTTCAGATATTGTCATGCTATTTTTGTGTCACCTCTGTTATGCAACTCATTCGAGATCACTTCAATAAGCTGTCAAATTTACTCTGAAGATAATACTAAGAAATATCGAAGATTCTTTCTCGTCGCGGTAATCCAATGCTGCCACTATTTTCGGATCCCCATGATATAATCCTTTTACCCCTATCGACTTTACGCCAGACCAAAGTCTCCTTTTACTTATTAAGTACTTCCAAGTGACATCGTTTATTTTCATCCAGTTGAATATTAAATGAGTAAAATTGTCATCTCAATGAAGCACGAAAAATCAATTTGGAACTGAAATCCTTATACATATATTTTAGCCAAAAAAATAATTTTTTTAACAGTTTAAAATTTTTTCCAAAAATTAAAAAAAAATTTTTTTTCAACCATTCGCATTCTTTCATCCAAAAGTAAAGGGTAGACGTTTCAGGGAAGCCTTAGTCACCTGGTGGACGATCGGACCGTTAAATTTTATCGTGGGTCCTGTAACCGTTCGAGTCATCAAGCAGGGGACCATACATTTTATGAAAGGGAACGCACTAGTGGCTAATCTTTTTTTTCGATCGCTCGCAACGCGGCCTTGGATGCACCTTTTTTCTCCGTATCCACGCCACTTATCTGACAAACAAACCTCATAAACGTTAAAAAAAAAAAAAAAAAAAAAATTGATTATCGAATAATACTACTTATGAATATTCATTGAATTTGAACGCTTATTTATAGTAATGACGATGGCCTACTAAAGATCATATTTTTCTTTGATGGACAAATTTTTTTTTACCGCACATACTCTAGTTTTATAATAATAATTAACGTGACTAACCACTTTCTTTCTTTTTTTTCTGTTTTAGGTAAGTTTCTCAACAACACACGCCATCAGTTTATTCCTGTCAAGTAAATAGGTATGCCATTCACAATATGATAAACATCGATTTGATGATTAAAGATAACAAATGCTCACGCGCTTACAATGTACAGCATATTTAGATAAGCTCGACGTCTCTTTTGTTTACGAGTTCATTGAATTCAAACACAAAGATCGACCCGTTAGAAACGAAATTACGTCACTATTACGTTCAACAATGCAAATTGGTTGAAAAAAAAAAAAAAAAAACCTGTTAAACAACAAAAATTACTTCATGAAAAATGCATAGTGTACCTATACAGTGAAAGTTAAAAAGACGATGAAAACCCATCGTGGTTATGCTCCTTAGCAAAAGCCTCTTGTGATAGATGGAGATTGATCAAACGATGAGTTTGGGTGATAAATTGAAACGGGTTGTATATATATTATGGGCTATGCTCACACGTACGTCTATGTCCTCGAGTGCGCGTGTTGTATGCCCACAGGGCACCCTTAACCCGTCCCGACTTGCGATCTTGGCGTTATTCCGCCCGAATCGACAGAATCCCATTGTTCCCGGGTGTGGGATTCCTCTCGTGCGTCTCCGTCTGTTTGCGCCCGCCGAGCTTCGGATGTTGTACTACAGTGTATCCGTATGTATACGTATACGCGAGTGTGGAGGTGAAACGTTAGTAAATCACGAAACTCGCGATTCGTGACATTAATGGTTGACAAAATTTAAGGACCCTCCCAGCACCGTGTGCTCTATGTTTAATGTATGGGTTATTGGGTCTCGATGCGCCATCTGTTTGGTATATCTCCTATCCGTTTTCTTTTGACAATCAAGTTTTGCGGTGTACGTATCGCGCACTAGATCGATGGAAAGGAGTGGGAGAGAGGGGGAGAGGAGCTGGTGAAATTGAACCTTCACTCGTGTGTTTCCCGAAGGTCTTTACTGGCCGAGGATAATAAATTTTCTTCCTCCCTCTCTGCTCGCAATCGACTTGTTATGCCGCGTGTTTCTTTGCATTCTTATTTTTCTCTCGTGTGGTTTGTCCTTTTTTCGTCCGTCTGCATCGAGCTTTTACGAGCTAGATTACTTTATTATGTTTACAGGATTTTTTTTTTGCGACGATTATTGTATATACGAGCGGGCTTTGCGGGATTTCGTTCGACGGTTGTGAAAAAGCTCGGGTGGAAAATGTAGATCGAAGCGTATGAATAACTTTTTTTTTAACTCTATTGGTTATTGATGGAAGCATCAAGTCTCTAAATAATAATTTTTAAAGGCCTGAGTTGTGTTGGAAACAGCGTTTTTTGTCCTTTTTACTTTTAAGTTTAAAAAAAATCTGTTATTCAAAGTCAGAGATAATTGGAATTGCCAATATTTATCGCTAAAAGCTTTTCCATTAGAATATTTGCTGTTAAATCGGTATTTTTGATCACATGAAATATAATTTGTGTATCCCGTTGCTTTATTTTTTAATCAATATTTTTTCACACCCATCGTTCTAAACCATGTTTATTTACGGTTTTTAAAAACAATATTTGCACTGCCGATTCGTATTTTGATTCGTGTATTTCTGATACAATCTCACTTTATATTTATAAATTTTTCAGCCAAAACAGAAATTACTAAGAGGAGTGAAGTTTATTGAAAAATATACCATAAAATATTAAAATATTATTTTAAACGATGCTCTGTTGCTGAAAAATGTATTTTCTGTACACTATATTATAAACAGTAACGAAAAAAAAGTTGTATCACCAACAGCCCATTTTATTTGTAGGAAACACAAATATTTGTAGAATAACCATTGTAGTAGTGATAAAGTCGAGGACAAAGTTTTCCAACAACATATTAATGCTCGTAACAACGAAACATATATATTTTAACTACACACGCACTCGGGCGTACACAATAGGCTTCAATAATGCGTAAATGAGCACGTGCTATATATTTACGATACACGTAAACGCCACATCTCAAAGAAACGTACACTGCAATACCAATAAGGAAAAAAAAAGAAACGTTCTTTCCTATTTGTTTCCTTCTCTGCAATGTTTTCCTCTCTCACTCGGTGTATAAATACCCACACACACACACACACACACTACGACGTGACGTGCAAATGTGAAACGTAGGATTCGCTCGCATTGTTTAATCGTATTTCACGCTCGTTCCCATGATAATTGCGCTTTTTGCTTTAATTTATCATACGCCGCGTCATTATCGTATTTTACGATAAAATTACGATGCACGAGAGAGGGAGTGCTTAAAATGCGCAACGGGTGCTCTTGAGCTTCGCTAGTTTGAACGTACCTTTATGAGGTTTTTTTTTTTTTTTTTTTTTTTTTTTTTTTTTTTTTTTTTTT